AAATGATCATAGTATCTGGTATACATATAAGTGGGATCATCCATTGTGTCACTTCTGTCATGCCTTACACAATTAAAATAAATAAAATTCTCATTCTTGACAAGGCAGCCTGTCTTGAGCAGTTGAGGCAAGCTGTCCAGCATTCCTTGATCCTCGCAAGACTTCCCACCTGCAGTGTGAGAGTGAGACAAGGAGGTCTTTCCTCCATCATGGTTCCTGCCATGACAGCAAAACCCTTCTGTGCCGAATGAGCCTTTTTCTCCCTTCGGGAGTCAAAGCACACGCCATGAGCACAGGAGGTGTGGCTGATGGGATCAAAAGGATTGCCGGCAAATGTTCTAATTGGTCTAGTCTGGGAATATCCCTTCAACAAGCCATCAACCCTTGTAGTTTTGGTCAAAGCATTGATCTTGTGGATGTGAAAACTGGCAAAAAAAAAACCCCATACAAAAACCCACACTATTGGCTTTCAATCAAGAAGGGGGGAAATTCAGTAGATTATTCTCAGTCTGTGGTTTATATTAGCTCTCATCATACAAGGATTTCCATCCAGAATCAGCACAAATTCAACCCACCCACCCCTGGTAAGGGTGAAGATTTTGAGAGATTAGCTGGTTGGATAGCTCAGTGATTTAGGCATCTCTCTGTGGAGCCCAAGGTTGGGAGTTTGAATCCTCCCTGGGCCTCCTATGAGTAGAGTGAGCCTGGGTAGCCTTGGGCAAGCTGCACAGTCCCAGGGCTCCCCAGACAAAGGGAATGGTAAACCACTTCTATGTATTCTGTACCTGGAAAACCCTGAATCGACTTGACAGCACTGTATTATTGTTAACTGAGTTTTCAGGATCAGAAGACTCCCATGAACTAAGGGTGCCTTGTCTCTTTCAAGGACAGCTTTCCTCCACCAAAGGTTGGAGGGGTAACTCAATGTGGCAACCAACTTTATAGACACACACACACACACACACACACAAAAGCTGGAGATAAATTTGTACGTTTGGAGAGCCATCGAGAATGTGGAAATCAAAGCATCACAAATCAGATTATTCTGAATCTTGGAAAAGTTTGCACATCGGAGCAATAGCCCCTGCAGAAGACGTTATGAAAATTCAGTGTCTCTCCTTTCCAAAGCAGACCAACACCTGGGATGTTTCATTATGGAAAATGTGTGTGCAGCAGCACAATAACCTAGATTATACAGCATGCATCTCCCTGATCACTTACTGTTCCATTCACAGGGTGACGAATGAAAATATGAAAGGAGATAGGAACAGCTAATCCATATTTGGGTCAACCTCTCCATAGGCCTGCTCCCAACATCACGGCAATTCATTGTTGGCTGAAGGATTTGGGAGAGAAGGCAAGCAGCTGCTCCACCTGTTTCCAGGAGCACTTCAGCTTAAGGGAGCTGAATAGGAATATTCACCGACTGAGCAAAAAAGAGTTAAGTGTTGGTGTCACCTCCTGGGGCCTTTTCATTCGTGGAGGAAGCCAAATTGCAGAGTTCTTGTAAATCCTCAGGATGAGATTCTGTTGAGCTTCTTTTACATTTTATAGGAGCCGATATGGACCAAAAGATGGCTTCTTTATAGCTGCAGCTTAACAACAGGAGTTCCAATGGGTTCCCATTGTTGAACATTTTCCTTAGGGAAGTCATCAGCTAAATGACCCTGCAGATCATGAGCAAGGAAGGAAAACTAGGAGGAACCAAGAGGGTAAAGGATTTGTCCAAGGTCACATCGGGAATCTCAGTCATGGCTGGGGGAAATACCCAGGTATTTCCGTCTTGCTATCTTTTCAAAGTATACTGAGTGTGGTGTAGTGGAAAGAGTGATGGACTAAGAAATCAGGAGGCCTGCGTTCAAATCCCCGCTCAGCCATGGAAACTCTCTGGAGGTATGGAACTCGTAAAACCAGTCCTTAAACATCTCACCTTGAAAGTCTTGTTAGTGTCCCTATTACGTCAGAGTCAGTTCCGATTTGAGGACACCTATCCATAAATCTCCCGCCAACCTAGCGGTTCAAAAGCATGCAAATGCAAGTAGATCAATAGGGACCACTTCGGTGGGAAGGTAACAGCGTTCCGTGTCTAAGTCGCACTGGCCATGTGACCACGGAAGATTGTCTTTGGACAAAACGCTGGCTCTATGGCTTGGAAACGGGGATGAACACCGCCCCCTAGAGTCGAACACGACTGGACAAAAATTGTCAAGGGGAACCTTTACCTTTACCTTTACCTATCCATAAATCTGTACAAAGGTTAAGCCACAACATCCTCAAGGCCATGGCACCTTTCCACTCCAATGAGCGTCTTCATTCAAGAAGTCATGCTTAAGTTTCATTGGGCGCAGCCTTTGTTTTGATCCCGGCCACTGTGCCTAGCATGAAGATCTTCAGCTCAAAATGCCTTTGATGGCAAAAGCAGAAACGATCAGAACGAACGTAAAACAACCCTACGTTCAGACCCATGTGGTTCTGATTCCACCTAGAGGGAAAATAGATGTCTCCTTACTAGATCCTCTCAGTGGGCATCAAATGACACAAGGCCATGATTTGGTAGCCCAGAGACACTGAGGATTTTGTTACCTTATAGAACGGGACTCAAGTCAATGCGTAAGTCCCAGGGATTCAGTGGGTCTACTTTAATTGAGGCTAACAATTAAGTCGATCCCAACAGCCCTCAGTACCATTCACAACCGTGGAGAGTCTGGATGCCCGAAAGGCATGGGGACCCTAGAAAGCAGTGGATAAATCCAGAAGAGAATTAAATCGAATGGAGGTGAATAACGCTGGCAGCTAGCAAGAGGCAGTGCGTGCTTTTTAAAATGTCAGAGGACCTAGGAAACAGCTGGGCAGCTGACAGCTTAGGTAAGAGAAGAATTAGGTCTGATGTGTCTCCTTCACAGCACAAAATGTTTCCTATGGAGAACAAGCCCAGCTCTCCAAATTTCAAAGGTTATTCTTAACATGCAGGCGTTTAAGTCTTTTGCTTTCTTTTGCTCACGGATGTTCGTCTAAACCACTGCAAACCATCGCCAACAAAACACGCAGTTTTTCTGCCTGCATGCCCCCCCCATCCCCGAATCCGGTTCTTCAGAGAAGTACAGTATGTGCGTTCACACTGGCATTTCATGCTCAGAATCAAAGCATGCGAGAACATGTGCCGAGGGCCCCATCCGCAGGCCTTTCACCAAAACTGAGGGAGCAGCTAAAGCCAACTCGCGCGAAACAATTGTCAAGTAGATTTAAGACCCAGCGCTCCCACACACACACACACACACTGCCGCAAGCTTCAGTAATAAAATCCAGATGAGCTGGCGCCTTTACAAGTTTGCCCGGCCGCATCAGGAGCCTGGCCTCATCAGTCCTTCTCGTGGGGGCTAGTGCTCAGTAAAAGTTTATGATTCATGTCTCTCTCCGGCTTCTGCAATTAATCCATGGCCGTATTAATAGTGAGAGACCGAAGGACGTTTGGCTAAAAGGAGCCAACCTCCTCCCCCCCCAGCTCTGATGTGAGAAGTATTGAAATTTACAGTTCTCTGAAGGTAACAAAGAAAGGCAGGTGACGAAATTTTCTGCAGTCTGGGGCAAGGCATCCAGGCAGACAGGACACCACCAGAACAAGTAATTAAAGACACGAAAAGACTGATTTTGAAGCACAGCTCCTTGAGGGCTACAAAGAGGAGGAAAGCTTCTCCTGATATGATGGAAACATCCTTTCAGGGCGATGGAGAGGCACTGGGAGTGTCTCAAAGGCTCAGCATGCATGATGGGGCAGAGACCTGAACTGGGAAACTGCCACATCCCACCACATTGCATACCACCAAGGTGACGTGGCCCCCGCCTCTGGCCACGGCCGGACCACTTGACAGGGGCTCACAACCTGTTTTTGCTCCCTAGTGTGGACTTGCGCCCTCCTTGTGCTTTGCAAACACACATTTGGTCTCTGTGACAAGTGTGCCATTCATTTGAGGTGTACATCTAGGCGAGGAACTTGATGGGGTGGGGGTTTTTTGCTCAAATGAAATCACAGGTGGCGCATGAGTGCTGGGCACAAGGACTGGGACCAGGTCACATCCCAAAGGCACTGCAGTTTGCCAGCCTTAAAATCCCTGGACCGAAGGGCTTTGCACACCCAAGCCTGCACGCCACATTTCTCCATGAATGATTCAGCCCTAATGAATTTGGGACCTTGCTTCTCCAGCTGTTGAGGGGCAACTGGGACGTCTGCCCTAGATTCCGAGAGTGCCCCCCCCCAAGCAGAACAGTGGGGCTCCTTCCCAGGGACAGGCATCCAGGAGAGCAGCCTGAATGGTCTCAATCCGCCACAAAACACGGTGTCCTTTCCCGCAGGATGGGAAGACACCCCCCAAAAAATCGTTTCCAAAAAGGCCAGCCTGAACCACGGTTATGACTTGTAGCCTAGTTCAAGACCCGCCATCCCCTCGTCCTTTTTTAAAAAATCTATCCTACAGATCCAAGGGTGGTGGTCGGCGGGGCTCAACGGCTCGCTCCCTTTCCTAGGGAAGGGGTTCAGATTGCACGGATTGCGGGGCTCCCTAGCCGCGGTTCGAGGGCCGGCTCCCGGGTCAGGCTCGGGTCCCATCAAATCCAGAGGAGCCCGTGCGTGTCCGAGCCCCTCCGTGGCGCAGGCAGCTCTCCCGCCCTCCTGAAAACCTGGGATCCGGCAGCGCCAGAGGGAGAAACGGGTTCACTTGTGATCTCAGAGACACGGGGGTGGTCGGGGAGATGCGGGAGCCGGGGGTGGGGGTTAGGGGGAGAGAAGTGTGGCCTTTTCTCCACCGGCTTCAACCTAAGCCCTCTAAAACATAGAATTGACCCCAAACATGTAGGGCAATCGTCGAGAACCGAAAGATTTCGCGGTCCAGCCAGCTCTCTTCTAGAGGTTCAACGCGTTGCACGCACACACACACACAGACACACACAGACACACGCACGTCCCCCACCCCCACCCCCACGCCCTGGATGCTCAGCAGACTCACCTAAGCGAGCGACCCCTTCCAGCTCTACCTGATCCGGACGGCCAGCCCCATCGCCCCGCTGCCTCGCCGGGGAGCGCCGCGGTCTCCTCCGCAGGGAAAAGGAGAGGGAGCAAAGCCACCAAAAAGAGGAGGAGGAGGAGCAGGAGAATCCGATCCCCGCGGCCAACCGGGAGCTGGTGGGGCGGGGGACGGTCCGGCGGCTGCTCCGGCCATCGGGGCTCTCTCAGGCGGCCCCGAACTTGCCCCCCGGGCGACTCGGAGGCGTCACGCCGTCTCGGTTTTCCATCCTAGTTCCCAAAAGCCAAACGGATGCCAAGGTGGAGAAAGAGGAGAGAAGAGAGAGAGAGAGATGGGGGGGGGGGGGGCACACGCAGCCTTCCCTCCTTTTGCGCTCTGGATTGGCCTCGATCCCAACAACCTCCTTCGCCTCTTCTTCTTCTTCCTCTTCCTCCTCCTCTTCCTCCGCCGCCGCTGCTGGTTTTTTGGATGGCGAGGCAACGCTGGAAACGGGCTGTGCGTGTGCGCGCACCTCGCCTCTCGCCTGCAGGCGAGCGATCATCCGCCCGGTGCTTGAGCGCAGAAGGGAGAGTCCCAGGGCTGAAACTGACCAGGGTGAAACTGACCAGGGCTGAAACTGACCAGCCTTTCCCGGCTGCGGCTTGGCCTCCCTTAAGCTTGGCGTTCGCCTCCTTCCCTTTTCTCTCCCACGCCTCCAGTCTATCCGCCGCCTAGATGCGATCCGGCCCTTCGCTTCTTCTTCTTCTTTTCGGGCGGGG